TAGCCCTAATATACTAGGAACGCATGTGGTATGCCGCCCCGCCGAGACACGCGAAGGAGACCGTGGCCAGTGACGACCGCGAAGCAAAGAACGGCTCCTTCCGCATGAGACCCTGGTACCACAAACGCGGTTTTCGCTCCGTCAACCGTCGAACCGCGGTCGCTTGACTTCGCGGTCCCTTTGTCGCTTACCGCCCGCCGCGATCGCCTAACGCCGTTCGCTGCCACTGTTAAACTGTGCGCCCTCGTCGATCTCGAATTCTCGACCGCCGTCGCGCACTCGGCGCCGTGCCGCCGCGGGCCGTCCATCTCGCTTTCACTCGGTTTTTTCCCCGTTGGTTTCATTCGTTTGCCCCCGCTGTTCCCATAGAAAGACCGCGCGATCGTCACCTGTGTACCATTTTCCCGAAATCTAATGAAAACATTGAAAACGTGACCCATACACCATCGTTCAATATGTCCTCCAATCCGCCCCCCCCACCCCCCCCCCCCCACAACCGACATTAAAGCAATCGACGCCGCCGCCATCGCCCAAATTTTTACGCTGGTTACAGAATAACGTTTGATAAACCCCGAAAACCGTTTTGAATGTACTGTGGATAAACGATATTCGGATCGTGAATCTCAACTGTTTATGGTCTAATGTTTGTATCTTACACTTGCGTAGTTGCGCACAGCCCGAAGCTCGATATTGACATTTTGAGAATACGCGTAGGTACCTACTTACGTTACCACCGCCAAACTGTTCGCGGCCAAATAAAATAAATAAATAGGTTGAAAGTTGTTGTTTTCGTGGAGATGTAAAATATAGCCCCGTGATCATAGATACTAGTTTAATTAAAACAATTTGACTATAATTTATACAATATAATTTATAATATATGGTCAACTTAAACATCTCTCGATTCTTAATTTCTAAAAGGTATATTAGATTTACGTTTTTTATATTGTGTAAGATCGAACCAGTAATTTTATGTTTAACATATTCTAGCTAATCGTCCTTCTAATTTATTTTAATTTTAAAGACATTTATGGGTATAAGAAAATTGTAAATTGTTTGTATATCCTAAAATACTCATAACTTGCTTTACAATTAAAATATAGTAAAAAGCCTATTAGATTCCCTAGATAATATCTTACCTTTAACTTGTATAAGAGATCAGTTCACTTGAATTTTTAAACTAAAGGAGTTAACTGTGATCTGCTGGGCATACAATTTGGTATGTTACAAGCTTGTAGGTCGGAGACAACAAATGCCTGTGTAGCATCCTCTTAAATTAAAAATAAAAATATTTATGTACCTATAAATTCAGTGTTTATTTGAAATAATGCTTATTTGCTGACAAGTTCAAAGTAATGACCTATGGATAACAATTTGCATGATTTTTTTTGGTGTCATCATTTTTGACAAGTTATTCAAGATAAATTATACATCATTTTTGATATATTATTATTAACATATTAATATATTTTTGTTCCAGAAAGAGAAAACGTGTTGCAAAAATAAAACCTAGTGATACAACTGCAGAAGAGGAACATTCTGTGGAAATGGTTTTAAAAAAACGTATAAAAAATAATAAGGTAGAATACTTCCTTAAGTGGGACGGCTACGATGACACATATAATTCTTGGGAACCCGAGGAAAATCTTCATTGCGAAGATTTAATTAAAAATTTTGAAGAAAGAAGTCTACGACCGATTCCAATTTGTAAAATACCAATGAAAATACCAGAAAGAGTAATGGGTGCTACTCATTATGAAGGCCAATTGTGGAGCGGGATAGAAGAAGCCGATTTAATCCTAAGTGAAGAGGCTAATTTAAAATGGCCTCAAATTGTTATCAAGTTCTATGAAAAAAAAATTAAATTTATGCGGCCTCTTGAAATATAAATTTTGTTTACTATTAAAATATGACTAATTATTACATGAGCTCAAAAATAACATTTATTTTATATCAAATCCTATGGTAAATGTTTTCTATTATTTTACTTTTGATTAAATATGTGGCAGTTGTGCCTTACAAATGAAAATATCAGCTTATCTATTAATAGATAAATGTTAGTAACTAAATATGATTTCATAAAATGGATTTTTTAGATTCTATGTGAAACGATGAATGTATTGATTTTACAATGATGTGTGTTTTTTTTAATTTTTAATTTTTTTTTTTTGCGTCTGTTTACACGATAAGTAGTAGAAATAATGCTTCGATTTTCGACTTCAGTATTTTGTTCGATTGGAAAGTGAATATCGTTGGTGCATTAGGGAGGTCAAAATTTAAAATTCCCAATAGTTTTCACAAGCGACGGGAAAAACAACATAAAAATTAAGGAAAAACGGGAATTTTTACGCAAAATCGGTTTTTGACAAAATCGAATTTGGTTTTTGGTATTACTTTAAAACAAATGACCGTAGATACATGAAATTTTCACTGGTTGTTTATATTTGCATTTTCTATACACGATAAAATTTTCAAAATATTTTGATATATTTTGAACTGTTAAGGGACATTTTCATTTTTAATTTTTTTTTAGTTTTTTTTCTAAAAATATCAATAAAATTTTATTTGTTGGTTGCGAAAGCTTGAAAATTTAATAGAAGGCTCCTAGTATATTGTTTCAAAGGCAGATGAAAAATATTAAAAATCGTTAGTCACAGTTTTTTTTATAAGCATTTAAAGTTCAAAAATTGACAAAATATGGAAAAATCACGAAAATTAGCAAATTATTTTGAGTGAAGAATTCGTACAAATTTTTCTTTTTAAATCTAAGATTTGAAAATGAAATACAAGATTACTCATAAGTTTGTGTACTTTTATCAATAAAAAAATATCTACCGGAAAGTCAAATTAAATTTTTATGAGCGTTTGAATTTCAAATTTTTACAACATTGGATTTATTATGTTATATATTATTATATTTATTATTTATTTTTTCACTCGATTTATCATGTAGCGATTTCCTTATTTTGTTGTAATTCAAAAACCAATAACTGTAGATACAAGAAAATTTCACTGAATGTTTAAATTAGCATTTCCTATACACCATACAATTTTCAAAATATTTTGACTCTTTTTGAGCTATTTACGGACATTTACCGCTTTTAATTTTTTTTTAGTTTTTTTTTCTATAAATATCACTAAAGTTTTATCTGTTGATCCAAAAAGTGTAAAAATTTAATACAAGGCTAATGAAATATTGTTACAATATCAGTTGAAAAATATTAAAAATACATAGGCACAGTTTTTTTTTATAAGCATTTAAAGATCGAATTTTGACAAAATTTATCAAAATCTCGAAAATTATCAATCATTGTAATTAATAAATTATAAAATGTTCAGTGTTTATAGCTAAGGATTGCACATTTAAAACAAAGGTTCTCATAAATGGTTCATACTGTAACCAAAAAATCTAAAAAATATATGAACACAGTTATTTTTTACAGACATTTTAAATTCAAATTTGGACGAAATTACATATTAAAAACCCAGAATAACTACTTTAGTTATTTTGTTGTGATTGAATAATATTATTCGTGGGTACTTGAAACTTCTAAAGTGTACTATTATATATCTATGATAGTATCACGGTTTTTGTTGATGTATAACGCGTTATAAGTACCTAATGGATATTGTGATATGATTAATTTGGAATTTATTATAGGTACCTATTATAGGTTTAATTTTGGTTTAGTACCATAGATATGTATATAATATGTTTTATACCTAGACTGACATACCGTCTCCGCTCAGAATCGTTTTTCCTATACAATGATATTATATCGTTGAATTCAAATTTAATATCATCCATTATACAGTTACCCACTTGTAACTTACTGTACAGCAGAGTAACACCCACTTGCCCTCCTTTTTTTTTATTATTGTTTAAGTGTATTCAGTTATATTTGTACAATAATATTTGTTTTATCATTATTTGTATTTAATATTATGGAACGTATGGTGGAACGTACTATGGTTTTGCTAAATTGAGGTTGGTCATAACTATATTTGCCCGGTCCAAAACTGAAATGTGACATTTTGCCCAATGATTATGGGCAGTTCGACTTTTGCTCCTTAACATTTATATTATCTGAATATGACGTCACGAAGCAAAAAACTAGTAGATTTAGCTAGAAAGTTCACTAATGATGATTTGCATGTTAACAGTAACTACCTACATCTGTACTATAATATATTAAATTCTATTAGTTTTATATAAATACAAATATAATTTATTGCAAAAAAAAAAAATTCTACCAACATGCAATACCTGTAAGCTAAGTTTGTAAGATGAGAATAGCTCTTATCAACTAATTTTATACATACAAGAAAATCACATAAGCTTAAATATTTACCTATGTAGAAGTACACGGATAAATGGTTTTATATGAACTTACCTAGGTATTTTCAATGATAAAATATATATTTATAATTATACTAATTACAGAATTACACAATAACTAAAATGATCAACAAAATATGGGTCATGAAAAAATAAAATATACAAATCCAGGTATAGTTTAAAAAACAATATATTTTAATTTATATATTTTAGTATTTATTTGTATAGTATATGTTAAGTTCAACTTGGTTAAAACATAAAGATTTATAAAATGATCAATATATAGGTATACTATATAGTATTATAATATTCTCAAAAATGTAAAATCTCAATAAGTACTAATACATTATATCATTTCCATAGATTATGAAAAATCATACTCAATCAAATTGGACATTTTCAGTAGTAGTGATTTACCTTTAAAATTAAACCACGTCAAAACATGTTACTGGAAATGACCAACAAATTCTAACAAATATAAATCAAGAACACCAAGATATGGTTGAGTATGCTTACAACTCTAAAAGGTTAGATAAATTACGATTAGGTACCACACCAACATTAAAAGTGATAGTTTTTGATTTACAGCTATGTTTACCAACGCCAGATCTTAAAACAAATATTGTATTTTACAAGCTTCAGTTATGGACCTTACAATGAGATGATAAAAGATATTCTTCTTAATAAAAGTTTCTGTTACATGTGGCATGAGGCTATAGCTGGGCGTGGATCCAACCAAATTGCATCTGTCTTATACAAATTTATTCAAGAAAATATTCAAAATACCATAACTCATTTAATTACATATTCCGACACTTGCTCATGTCAAAATCACAACATGAATGTTGTATTGATGTTCATTTTTGCAATTCAAAAGCACCCATCACTACAAATTATTGACCAAAAGTTTTTAGTACCTGGACATACCCATCTTGAGTGTGATATCGATCATGCTAGGATTGAGTGGAATAAAAAACAATTGGATTCAATTATTGCAATACCAATGGATTGGTACAACTTTGTAAGAAGTGTAAGAGGGAAAGTGCCATTAAAGGTAGTAGAAATGGAACAAGAACACTTCAATTCTTTTTCAACTTTCCTCTCCGGACCACTTTTAAAACGTAATGTTGATACACACAAAGAAAAGCTAAACTGGCTTAAGATAAAATAGTTGAGATATGATAAACAATTTGGTATTATTCAATTTAAATACTCATTAGATGAGGGCACTCAATTTCGTTTCTTGGATTTAAGGAAAGGTGAGATTAAAACCAGATTTAGGACCGAGTGAACTACTAATGGAGCATCTAATTTAAATTTGCCAAATACCTATAACTGTCCTTTACCTATTCAAGTTGAGAAAAAGAAAGATCTACTAAGCCTTCTTCCATTAATAGATCCAATTTATCATCCATTTTATAAATCATTAAAAATTAAAACAGTATCCGAAATAACTCCAGACTCAGAGATTGAATCTCAATAATTTGTGTTACCTATAATAATTTGTTAAATTTATTTTAAAGTAAATGTTATGTTTTTCTTTTAGTAATTATACTTTATATTAGTGTTATAACACAAGAGCTGTCATCAAGATTTGAAGATTGATTTTGAATAATTTTTTACCTTGTATTAATACTTTCATAAAGCTATTTATAAGAAAATGTTTTGTATTGTTTTTATAAATACTATTAATATTATAATACATTATTAATAATATTAATATACTTCTTTATTATAAAAATAAAATATACAAGAAGTAATATATAATAATATGTTATGTTGTTTTCGCAAGACAATATTTACGACAAAAGTTGATGTCTGCATTATGTTTTTTTAAATTAATTATTAATTAATCAATATTATTACATATAAAATATTTTACGAGCATAATATTACTTAAAATATTGTTGAATTTGCAATGAAAAAAAAATAAAAATATATTTTCTCTAAAAGTGCAAGCTGAAACTCAACATTTAGTTAATTTTCAGTTTTTAAAAAAACTAAAAACGCTTGTTCTGAAAAATTAGCATTTTTCAGATATCAGCTTCCGGCTCTTTAACACATAAATATATATAGGTATAAGTGTATTACTATATATTATAAATACCGTCATAAACATCGTTGTCCTCGCGATTCCTATTCCTATTTAAATAGTTGGAGGTGCGTGACGCTGGCATCCGCAAGTTTGAAATTCAACTCAAAAATCACATCAGTAATTGTTATACAATTTGTACAAATTTGTAACCACAATTCCAAAATTTGTACACCCCCCCGTCACCTGTAAAATCCAAGAACAATTTCCGGGTGCCAGCATAACGTGACGCTGGCACCCAGATTTCGATATATTTGGCCTATCGACCCAAAAACCACATCAGTAATTGTTATATAATTTGTACAAATTTGTAACCCCAATTCCAAAATGTGTACACCACCCCGTCGCCCGTAAAATCCAAAAACGATTTCCGGGTGCCAGCGTTACTCCCCATTTTTTGTACAGTCCCTTTTTTGACTCCAAAATGGTACCAACGATTGTTATTTCATTTGTACACATTTGTAATCCTAACTTAAACATTTGTACACCTCCCTGAATGTCCCAAAATTAATTTCTATAGTGCTTACTTCAAGCTGCCCCGCGGATTTTTCCTATCGAATCCAGACCTCTTCTAAAATTTAGTAAGAATTTAGACATTTAGTAACTAATTGTATCTGAAATCAAACAATTTGTAACCAAAAAGTCTCCGAGAAAACTCAATTTCCATTTCGGGGGCCTAACATTTTATTAGGTTACAATATATGATACAAGACTTTTTGACAATCTTCCAATTATATTTGACTTCAAACATGTTTATGAAGATTATTTTTTTTTGTGTGTCTGTGTACACGATAAGTAGTCGAAATAATGCTTAGATTTTCAACTTCTGTATTTTGTTCGATGGGAAAGTGAATATTGTTGGTGGATTGAGGGGGCCAAAATTCCTAATAGCTTTCATAAGTGTGTTGAAAAACAGCATAAATATTAAGGAAAAATGGAAATTTTTACTGAAAAACGGTTTTCCACAAAATTGATATTGGTTTTTGGTCTAACTCTAAAACAAATGAAATTTTCACTGGTCATTTATATTTGCATTTTACATACACGATAAAATGTTCAAAATATTTTGATTTGTTTTGAACTGTTTAGGAACATTTTCTGTTTAAAATTGTATTAGTCTTTTTTTCTATGAATGTCAATAAAACTTTATTTGTTATGTATAAAGCTTGAAAATTTAATACAAGGCCCCTACTAAATTGTTACAATGACAATTGAAAAATAAGAAAAATCCATCACAGTTTTTATTTATAAGCATTTAAAGTTTAAATCTTGCCAAATACTGAAAAATCACGAAAATTAGCAAATTATTTTGAGTTGAAAATTCATAAAAAATTTTCTTTTTAAATCTAAGATTTGAAAATGTATCACAAGATTCCTCATAAGTTTTCTACCTTTAACAAAAAAAAAAAAAATGTTAAAAGCGAATCAAATTAAATTTTTAAGAGCGTTTGAAATTCAAATTTTTACAACATTGGATATTCACTCGATTTCTCATGTAGCGATTTTGTTATGTTATTGTTATTCAAAAACGAATAACTGTAGATACACTATGAAAATTTTACTGAATGTTTATATTTTCATTTTCTATACAGCATAAAATGTTGAAAATATTTCGACTCTTTTTGGGCTGTTTACTTTTTTTTCTATAAATATCAATAAAATTGTATTTGTTGGGTAAAAAAGCTTGAACATTTAATGCAAAGCTCCTGATATATTGTTACAATAGCAGTTTAAGAATACATGAGCACAATTTTTTTTATAAGCATTTAAGTTTCAAATTTTGACAAAATTTAATAATTATTTTGTAGTTACAAATTTATAAAATGTTCAACTATTATAGCTAAGGATTGAACATTTAAAAAAGGGTTCCACATAAATAGGTAAATGTTATATTCAAGATATACATAGGTAGGTACCTACATATTAAATAAAATGTTTGCATAAAAATAAGAAAGATGGTAAAAGTTATAGGTACCTATTTAATTATAATTATATTATTCAGTACCTACATTTAATGGGCGCCCGGGAAACGGGCCACAATTCACCTTTTTTTAAAAAGGTATACGGTAATTGAGCCACCAAAATTTTATATTTATTACAGGTAGGCCCGGTAATTGGGCCACTAAAATTTTATATTTATAATAGGAAGACCTGGTGATTGGGCCACTATTAAATTTTAAATTTTAATAAAATAATATTTAAGAGGATGTCAGCGCACTATTTGTTTACTCTAAGATTACTTAGAAAAAATTATTCTGCGTAAATATACAATTCCTAATACTGCAGCGCAAACGAAACTTTACTCAAAGCGGCTGCGTATGCCTTATCAAAAGGTAATAAATTATCCAATATCTTATGATGTAGAATTATCAATTGTCATCAAATGAAATGGATAAAAATAGTCATACTATAATACCATAACGCGTATAATGTGCAAAGATTATGAAACAATGTAAATTGTGATCGTTTAGTTGATTAGCAAACTATACGATCGACATCTAGTAGTACACGCGTGGTTCGTAATATAAAGTAGGTACAATGGAAGTGTTAATGTCCGAAAGAGGAAAAAAATTATTAATTTTTAATAATTATAAATTTTCTTTTGCTCACGAGAGTCAATGTGGCAAAACTCGTTGGCCATGTGCCAAGAAAACATGTCGAGCCAAAATGCATACAATTTCAAAAAATATACAAATGGGTACGTACATGGGTACATACTCGAACTACAAATGCCGTCGAGTCTTTTCATTCACATTTCAAAAATAATTTCTATATGTCACATCCAAATATACATAATTTTTTTAATGTTTTATTGCAACTTCAATCAGAAGTTTATATTAAGATTAAAAAGTATAGGAAACAATAAAAACAATAAAACGTACTTTAGTTCAACAACCTTTTATTTTAATAAAATTAAAAAATATGAAGAAGGGGAAAAACCCGATTTCAATATGTACAATCTGTATCATGTTATTTAAAAAAAAAAAAAATTATATTAGAAAAAAATTATTTATATTTATATAATATTTATATATTTATTTATATTTGTAAAATGAGTATTGGCATTATTTATAAAAATTATTTATTATTATTTATTATTCGACTGACTTTATAGATCGAAATGTCTTGCATTATATTTTTATGTACCTATTGGAAAATGTTTTTTCATATTATTTATTTTTTGACTAACTTTATGGTCCTTATATTATATTTGTAAAACGAGTATTAGCATTCTTCATAAAAATTATTTCATATTTGACTCATTTTATGGACCTTGTTGTATATTAAAATAGTTAAATCTGTATGGAAGTATTTAAAAAAAATATTAATTATTTGACGAATTGTATTTTTATATGTTAAAACAATAATAATTAGTTAATAAACATTATTATATATTCGTATAAATAGTATATTTGTGTGCTATACTTTTATGGCCCAATCCCCGGGTACACTTTAAAAATATAGATTTAATTTGTGGCCCAATCTCCGGGTAGTAAAAATGTAAACAAATATTTTATACGAAACCGGTAGTTTAAATGTGCCCAATTAACGGGTGCCTCATTTAATAAAATTAATTTTAAACAAAAAAATAGATAGTAGGAAATGCAATAAAAGGTTTAATTACGATTATAAATCGTTTTTTAATTTAAGGGTGACTGGGGGTGTACAAATTTTGGAATTGTGGTTACAAATTTGTATAAATTGTATAACAATTACTGATGTGATTTTTGAGTTGAATTTCAAACTTGCGGGTGCCAGCGTCACGCACCTATATATAATAGTTTGAAAGTTAGTGGAATAGGGGCTTATTAGTCTATTTAGTATTTAGTATTTACGATATTTTAATACTGTCGTCTGTCACAATTTATATTTTATAGTTTTATACATTGACAAATTAAAGCATATTAAGTTTTTGATTTTGTAATAAAAATAGTTATGTTATCAACCCACAAATGGCCTAAATAAACTGTTTTAAAAATATGATTAAAATATAACAACCACCGACCAGACGCAACGAGTTTTCTCGGAAAACAGCTTTTACATTATATATAATAACAACGCTCACAGGGCGTATGATT